TAGTCTAATCGAAGAGCACAAAACGAAGCTAAAAAGAGCACATACCCCATCGTTTAAGCACTTGATGAACACCCATCCGGGATGCTCCGGCGTCGTAGACACGCGGCGCACGACCACCTTTGGGCAGTGGTCGCACTTGATAAGGGGCAACGGTGCGCCGACGAGCTTTTGGGCAAGCACCGAGCCCGGCCGGCCGCCATTCGCGTATCTGCCGGCGGACCACCGACGGTGCAGATCCGAGCGGCTAGAGGACGAGCCACTGCCTGCATGTGGCCTTGCGGTCCTGCCAGGGCCTTCCGGCAAGGTGCCCTCCATGGCGCGGCCCGGCCTCCCACAGTCGGGCAAGCTCAAGACCGACCGGATCCGCCCCAAATCCGGCCGGCGGGTGCGCAAACAAGGTGGCCGTGCTTGGGTAGCTCGGCGGCGATGAGAGGAAGGGGCTGGGCAAGCGCGCGTCCGAATTGCACGGCTGCAATGGCAGCAGACGGGCGGCCAGCGGCGGCGAGGGGAAGAGAGGGGGAGAGTGGGGAAGAGTGGAGTGGATGCGGCCGGAGGGAGGGAGGGGGGCGGATAGAAAAAGGCTCGTCCTGTGCCACCGACGAGCGGGCCAGGGGAGGACACGCGCAGACGGTCCGCGTGTCCGCGTAGTGTCCATTTCACCCTAAAAGCGGCGCAAACTTGGGCCGCGGATGGGTCGAAAGCGGACACAAAGCGGACAAAAGTCCGTTTGCGCCCGCGCGCTCGGCCGTCTCGTTTGTCCCTTTTACCCCAAATGAACGGGGGCGGACAAGATAGGGTCGCGCGGTGGAGTTGGCCTTACTACCCACTATGAAAGTAGTAACATAGTCTAGGGATATGTGTATATTACTAGTGTATGCTACTCACCATTGTGGCTAGTCTAAACCACGGTGTGAAATCACGCTCACCCAACGTGGCCGTGCTGTTTGGTCGCGCAATGAAGTGAAAGGTAAGAGCATCTCCAGCCGTTCGCCCCCCGGGCGGTGAAAAAAAGCCATCTGGAAACGAATCGTCGTTAGTTTGGCGCGTGGGTGCGACTCCATTTCCAGTCGTCGCTATCAGTTCGCCGCGAGTTTGGCGAAATTACGTGCAAACATGTGCAAACTCGGTGATCTGATACGAACTCAGCGAAATTTCATTAAAATTTGTACAAAAAAGGAAAAACACTATGGCAAACTACGCTAGCCACTACGCTGCGTCCATCATCCGCCATATTCATGCCGAGAAGCCTGTAGAAGTGGGTGTAGTCGCCGCCGTTGTCGTCATCGCGCGCCCCGCCGGAGCCACCCCCATCCCTGCTGCACCCCTGCCTAGGGTCGCCAATGTGCGGCGACGCTCTGGACGACCCGGTCTCGTCCTCATCGTCGTTGTCGAGGACGATGGCGCCGCCCTCCTCGCGGCCGTGTTGCCTGGCCGAGCGCCGAGCCTGGAGCTCCGCGTACGCCTAGCGTTGGCGGCGCACCTGCTCGCGGACGTAGTCCTTCTTCATCCATTTCAGGGCGGCCTCATCATCGGGGGTGACCATGTCGACGTGCTCCGGCATCAGGGGAGCAGGCCCGGCTCGGTCTTCGGCCGAACCAGGCGAAGGAAGCGCGGGGAGGGACGGGCACCCTCGTTGATGACGAGGGCGCCGCTGTGGGTGCGGCTTTGCTGCGGTCTCTCCTCCGGCTCAGGCTTGACGGGACGGAGAGCCGGCGAGCCAGAGGAGAGCGAGCCGGAGCCCAACGACGAGGACGTCGGCTCCATTCGCCATGGCGTCCAGGAACTGTCGCGGCGGCGAGAGAAGGACGGCCGCGCAGGGTACTCGAGTCGCGACACATTGCCGGTCTCGATGTGGTCGAGGACGGGCTCGAAGGTGCAGCCGGCAACGCCCCACCACTCGCGCCGTCCTTCGGCATTGTGGCGGCCACGGGGAATGACGTCGTTGACGGAGGCGATCTGCTCCTCACGGCGGCGCTCGAAGTACATCGTCCACAGCGTTTCGCTGTCAGGCGCGTACCTTGGCTCGTTCCGCTGTTCCTCCGTCAGGGAAGAGCGGATGCGGGCGATCTCTACCCGTCGTGCCGCCCCTTCGGGCACCGGTGGCACCGGGATGCCCCCGACATGCGCATGTCGGGGGGGGGAGGGGGGGGGCGGGCACTCGGCCTCGTAGAGGAGCCGCGCCTCCGGCTCTTGGAGGTGGCGGTGGCCGAAACAGTTCGCCGTCGCGCCGTCGCCTGGGAACCTCTCGGCCATCTTTGCTCGTCGGCAGGAAGGGGGAGAGGGATGCTTTTGCGAGGCGGATGCAGGGGGAGGTTGTGGCGTTCACCGGCGGGGATGGGGCGCCTTTTATAGCCCCAGCTGGGCGGCGGGAGGCTTCATGCGGGCGACGCGTGGCGGGAGCGGGTGGGACGCGCGTTGGCGGCGACTTCACTGCGTCGCCCGTGAGGCATCAATGGAGGCTGGCCGCGCGCGGCAGCCTTGGCCAGCCTTGGCATTGATTCCCGCAAGAACCAAGGCGATGAGGGCGACAAAGCCACGTCTCGCTGACTAGGCGGGCCCGCCCCCGTTCGCGCCAAAATCGCTCGCTCGGCGGCCCCGTGCGCCCCCAGCGCGCCGGGTTCGGCTTGGGTCCGTCGGCGCTAATTTCGGCCCAAACCGGCAAAAAATGGGCTCCTGGGGGCACGACTGGGCCGTTTTTTCGGCGTCAGCGCGAAGAAATCGTCTGGGGGGCGTGTTGGGGGCTCGGCTGGAGATGCTCTAAGGCCAACTCCAGCGCACGACCCCAATCATACGTCTGGTTTGGCCAGATTTCGTCTCTTTGGGGTGGCAATGGGTTCGCCCACGTCGCTTCTGTTCGTTGGGTTTTCGGTGCGCCCAGCGCGCGACCGCAATCCAAATCATGTCCGGGGTGGACGTGATTAAAAAAACAGAAAAACTAAAATAAATGCCAAAAAAGTAAATAAACATAAATATAAAAACATAAAACATAAATTAACCATCACGGCCACAAAACGGCTCGGTTCCACAGTTCACATTGACATAATTAACATAAAAAACAAAAAAAGCTGTCAGCATGCTCCTGCCGTGGCTGTCGCCGTCTTCAGTGGTTGTCGTTGTCGTCGTCCTCGCTGACGAGCTCGACATACTCCGGCGGCGTTCAGAGGTGGGACGGCGGTGCGTGGTACACGGGGGCGGGTTGGAAGGCCGGAGGTGCATGCACTATTCTCCTTTCCATTTATTTTCCAAAATCAATTGTTGTCTCACAGTTGATGTGAGCTATTATGCTATAATCACTACTAGAAGGGTTAGATGCGCTTTGATGCGCCGTTGATGTTGTTGAGTTTCTTTAAAACATTACTCATTCTGTTTCAAAATATAAGATGTATTACATTTTTTTAAAGTCAAACAGTTTTAAGGTTGATCAAATTTGTAGAGAAATACATCAAAATTCATAATAACAAATCGGTATAATTAGATTCATCATGAAATGAATTTCCCTTTTTTTTGCTTAATATTGTGGTTGTTGACATTTTTGGCTCTAACTTTGTCAAAGTTAAAGGAAAATTTGACTTTTCAAAAAATAATAGTGTTCTATTTTTTTTATTGTTTGATGATTGGGCCTTTCTCGATGTGATTCTGTGTTATCCGCTAAGAATTACATATTTATGTGGGGAAATTTCTGCGTCGGTAGCTGCATGTACTATATTGGTGCTACAGTATCATATGATGTGGTGTTTCTTTATGTTTATATAGGCCGGTTGCTGCTAATTGATTTGAAAAAGTATTGGCTCCATAATTGAATACCTCAATCGAATTGAAGAGTTTCAAAATTAGGGAACAATAATGACTCAAAATAATTGAATAAGAGAGCTCCTTGAGCAATTGTTGACCTAGTCAAAATTGAGTGACTCTATTTAAATTGAAGACCTTAATTAATTGTGAGGCCTTAAAAATTGAGAAGCATAGTGTATAGTATTAAAATATTAAATGAGAGAGCTTTGATAAATTGTTGACCCATTCAAAATCAGGTGATCCAATTTCAGTTGGATATCTCAATTGATTGTGAGCCCTTTAAAATTTAGGAGCTTAGTGTTATCAATTCTTTGAACGAGGTCGACAAGCACTGTCAGGCTTTCTTTTGAAAAGGAGAAGATCATGTCAATAAGGGCCGCCGAAGTGGTGTCGGACAACTTCCTCTCATTTCCTTCCTATCCTAGGCGGCTAGACCAAACTTTTTCCTTCAGACTTTACCGGCAAGCCTATGGATTTCCCTCCCATCCGCTTGCCGATCCGACGGCCAATGGCTGGAAGAAAAATTCCGATGCCTCGGTTAGTAGTTTAGGTTAGAATTTTTTAGCCTCATAAGACTGCCCGGCTATCATCAACAAGGTCAAGCCAACTCCTGTTAAGAAGAGTGATAATCTCAATGTAATTTCTACTCCCTCTGTCCCATAATGTAAGACGTTTTTTGACACTACACTAGGGACGGAGGGAGTATTATGTATGAGATGCTATGTGCTTCCGATAAACTTTTATAATAGATCTGATACTTTTCGCAAAAAATAAAGCATCGGGGCCGTCACACGGAGATGAGCTGATGTAATTTTCTCCTATTTCCCCTTTCTTTTCTCCCTGGCTTGTCCTTGCAATTTATTTGCTCTTATTAGTACGGTCCAAAGAAAGAACTAGTAGTACATGTTGAGTGGTAAGTACCCACCAACGATAGTTTCTTTCTTGCTTTGTTTCCAAGCTGATAATCATGAGGGACCAGATTAAAATGACCAAGCAAATCCAGAGATTGGCCAAACAAAACATACACCTAACATTAGGTTATCTTCCATGTCCACAATGCCATCCACAAGGCTTCAAATGTAAGTTCTTCCGGTGTCACTGGAGCGAATCAGTTTACAATATGTTTAAGTGACCAATTAAAAACATGAGACAAGCTTCATGGACCGGAAACTTCTCTTCTTCGAGACAGTAAACTGTCAACGGGCAAATTACTCCACCTCTTCCAAGAAATCCTTGATCTCTGCTGGAGTTAAAACTCTGCATTTTGAACGGGAAGTGTTACTAGTCAGAATGCAGAAAGGAATTTGTACTCTAATCAAACAGCTTATGACAGTTACAACCGATAAAATAAGAGTAGAAGCACACACATATTGGACACATACTAAAAATTGCAGGCAAATACAAAATGCACGACCAAGAGAAACATGAACAGATTAGCTAAGAGTAGCACAAGTTTTTAGCGAGCAAATGAAAGTTATCGTGAAAATGTTAAGAAGTTAGTAAGGGTTGAAAAAAGAGGCAAAAGGAAAAATTGTATCGATAACTATGTTGCAATAAAAACAGCATAATTGACTTTCTATACATACTTGAATTCACGGTCAGCCCGGATAACTCCAATTTCAATGTTGTTGGCAGAGATTTGACCTTCATATCTGCAAGTCCGGAAACAGTCAGTACTCAATAAGCAACCGAATTGGCAGCATAAGCCAACTACGAGAAAGATATAGCTACCCTTCTTTCAGAGTCAAAATTGCAGTATGAATGGCATCATCAAGCTCCATATCTTCGGTGTATCTAGAAGTTAAAGCTATGTCAGTTAAATCATGACCATGCAAAAAGGGAAAATAATAATAACCTTGACAACATACATGCTGCTTGTATTAGTGAACGGATGAACAGTAATAGAATGCAATTTAGTATGATTATCAGATTGAAAATAATAACAGTCAAGCATTAACAGTGACTGTAGTAGTGGTAGGATAGATGATAGATCCTCCATCTACCTTTTCTCAAGAAATGTCTTTGCATTTGACACATTTTTCCCCATCGCTGATGCTTTCCAGGAGAAGTAAGATCCTGATGGGTCAACCTATAGAAAGAATCAACAATGAGAAATTTTGTTACTATTAACTACACCCTAACTATATGAGTTCATGACATGTGAAACATCAGTCAAAAGTAATACAAATCCTATGACATGTGAAATATCAGTCAAAAGTAATACAAATCTGGTGCAAACTAACAAGCGACAGAATATGAAATAGTGGGAAGGGAAATAACAAGGTCTCTATCATGTACAGTAGCTCTTTGCACATACCTGATACAACTGCGGACCATTGTCATCGTACCCAGCAATCAACAGTGATACACCAAATGGTCTTACACCACTGCAACAAATAAGGTTATAAGTCCGACGTATATTTCAATGAAGTTTTGAACTGAACTTTTGGGTTTTGGCTGACACATGTAAAACAAATCAAAATACATTGGACAATCAAATCTTATCTACTATTATATGTACAAGTGTCGACTTGCGTCATGACTGTAGCATTTTAAAACCTCAGTTTCTTGAGTTCACCTATTAAGTTATATTTCATATTTGAGTTCTTGTTATCAAAAACATCAGTCAAAAGTAATACAAATCCTATAACTTTCTCTAGGTATAACAAGTGACTGGTTTAAACAATTTCATTAGTAGTATAATAAATAGAAAGTGCAAAGTATAGTAGCATACCCAGATTGTGTGAACTCCTGCATAACAGCAGCAGTCTCTCGGACAAGCTGGGTCACTGGGATGGTTTCCTGCATTTGGAAATGAATAATAATCAGAGAACATATATTTACTAGGGGAAAATGATAGAACATGGCTACAGGTGACCTGTACATTAGCCAAAGTGGCAATTTATTAAAATGGCTACCTTGTACAACCGATAATACTGCTGTGCCTGCTTCCGACTTTTTCTGACAAGAACGCGGAAATCTGGACCCATCCCACTGGAAACAACAAGTAGGTAAGTGCACATACATGCAACAAGAGACACTTGGAAATTGCAAGAAACACCAAATTTCAGTGACATCAACTGGAAAATATATTAATGGAGCCATGGTGGCAAGTCGGGAGATTTAATAAACAGTTTGGAAAAGGTGTGGTTATTCTGATAGCTTAGCCGTTGATCTCCAATGTGCACTTCTGTGGTCAAGCAATGCTCTAGGTAATAGCTTGCACCAGTACTAGTTTGCATGGTAAATTGGTAATGATAACCCTGCTTGCCCATTCATCATGTCGCCTAAAAAGGGTGAATGTTCATGTTTTCTCCCAGATACCTTAAGTTGATTGATTAATCAGCTGGTTTGCTTGCATACTTTGTACAGGTATTTCAAAATTTTGCCTTTTCGGGGGCATCTACATATAAGGTGAAATGGGTAAAGGGGGGAACTTTCAGACAAATTGTTCATCTTATCCTTTATATATACAACCAGCTCATCAGTGATGAAAGTGAAAAAAAATGTAGCAGCAAACACAGCAATACTAGCTCAGACATCATTGAGAATTAAGAACATTAACCAATACATCATTAGTTAGGGTAATACTAATACAATAATAACAGAGGTAAATATTTTAACAATATAGAAAAATGAATAATAAGCAACACTGGAAAAATACCTGTAGACAACTCCAATATTTGGAGTCAGTGACTGAATCTTCTGCACCTAGAAATTTGCAGGAACAGATTAATTAGCATTTTTCTTTTGAGATAACAGCAAAAGATGGCAAGTAGAGAAAAAAAGTAAGGATCATGTTACACTTACAGATGTTTCGTCCACTAAAATAGAAGGCAATTTCTTCTCCGTGGCGATAACTACACCATTGGCAGCTACAAACATGACGCATATATCTCAGAATCAATAAGTCACTCAGAAAGGGAAGTGAAAGTGCTGTAGAACAGTAAAATAACTGATAGAATATGCGCCATACAAACTAAGCTAAAATTCGTTCAATCATTAGTAACTGTAATAGAAGAAACATATCGGTGCTAACTTGTAGCTATATAAAGAGTGCATGTCAAACATTATCTTTTTTGTTGATATCAAACATTAGTTTCATTCAGTTGTCAATAAAAGGTCATAGGCGAAAAACCAATAGACCACTCTTTAACTTCACAACACAACACAAAACAACACAATACAACTGCTTGGTATGCTGAAAAGCAAACTAAGTGGTATGCTGGAAAAGAGGAAAACAAATAATGTGCAATTGTTCACTTATCATGAATTTATTGTTATTCTAAATCTCCTAGAGCCTCAGTGAGTAGACATCATCCAAGGTACATCCGGCCACCCTACCAGTAAGCAACAAGAATCAAACAACTCCAAGGTACATATAAATCCAAAGAACGCACTCTAACAGTTTCTGTGGAACATCCAAGTACAAGAAGGCAATCAGAACTCCAAACTTTACAATGGATGTGCTCCTATGTAGTCGATTGTTTACAGAACATATGTATACTTCTGAAAATATGTCACACCAAACATCAACTTCGCACTCATAAACACAATGTAAAATAATACAGATTAAAAAAGAACATGATCAGACAAACACATTGGCATCATTGACATGTATCTATCAAAAGCATTGGATTATTAGCTGGTATATCAGTCTCCGTAGACATGAAGCTCCTAAAGCTCAGGCCTAAAATTGGGCATGGATCTGCAAATAATCTCAGTGCCTTAAATTGGCACAATAGAACTGCCGCCAGCCGCAAAGAAAAGAGCAGTGATTACTAACTATTTGTCATGTGTTAAAAAGGCCTGCACTCCATCCTCTTGTCGTTGGAAGCCTGAATTTATGCAGACTAATGATTTCCATGGCATGTACAAGCATAAAACATCATATGCAATCGATTAGTGCCACAGCTAGTAGTGTAAATACTACCACGTGATTCTATGATGCCAAAGATACAGGAGAAAACCTAACTAAAGAACGGACATCAGCACTGTCATAAGCCACACCATGCCAAACCCTAAAATGCGAGCTAAATTCACACTTGAGAAACGAGAATGGAAACCCTCAGCATTGACCTAATTTTCTGCATAAAACCCTCACATCGCTGTCTTAAACTTGTCTAAATCACGAAACTTCCGCCGCAAATCGATGCTGGCAGCGTATATACAAGACTACTAATAGCAGAAAGTACTGGGCATGATTACTGCGCGCATCGCACCTTTGATGCCAAGCGAGGTTTGGCCCGATCCGACGGCCGTGAGCGCGTGCTCGATCTGCACCAGCTTCCCCGACGGGCTGCAATGAAATCGGGGGAAAAGTCAGATCAAAGCACCGACATCGCACCTGATGGGGCCCAATCGAGAGGGAAGAGGGAGAGGGCACGGACCTGAAGGTGGTGAGGGAGAAGGAGTACTGGCTGTCGCCCATGGCCGACGCGCTGGACTACCTCGTCGGCTTTCTCGGGTCGCGAGAGGAGATCGGATGGAGCGAGAGAGCGAGGCGGCTGCTACAGAAGAGAGACGGAGGGGGGACAGGACGGGACGGGAGTAGTGTCGAACGCGAAGAGAAGAGGAAAACGGAGAAGAGCGGAGTGTTTCGCAAGAAGATGATTCTGGGCCGGAACCGGAAAGTGCAAGGTTTGCAGAAGGCGCTGAGAGCCACTCCGGCCGATTTTCTCCGAGGGCTCCTTTCTTCCAAAGAAATTTTATTAAAAAATAGAGGATTTGGATTCTTACAAGGAAAAAAACGGTGGCCATTTAATTCATACGATTATAATCTTTGGAACTTTTTTCATAGATTTTATTTGTACTACAATTTGGAGGAAAATTTTCATCTACTCAAACTTTTTCATATAATTCCTTCGTTTTTCTTATGCTATCAAACACTCTTCTATTCATAGAGCTTTGCGTGTGCGCGTGCATACCCCTTCGCCCATACGCAAGGGCACCCAGCCACTAGGGTTTCCTGTGCCTCCCGCCAGCGCCGTCACCGGCCTGCCTCGTCTCCTATGGCCTTAAGGCCATGGAGGTGTGATGGATCCCGGCCGTTGCCGACGGAAGGGCTTTGTTTTTTTATGTATTTTGTTTTGTTTTGTTAGGGTTTGTGTTCTGCTCAGAGAGGCGAGACGATGGCAGCTATTTGAAGATGGAATAGGTTTTCCCTGTCTAGCCCTCCCAACGGTGCTTCTAACGTTGTCAGAGGGCACGTGGAGGTTTGTCTCCGGTGGATCACGTGAGATTTGGTCTGCATTTGTCTTCGATGGATCCACGTGGATTGGTCTTCGTTCATGTGTCTACCTGTTGGATCCCTTCGATCTACGCTTCTCTTCATCGGCGACGGTTGTTACTATGGTGTGCTAATCTTGTAGGGGCTTAGCATGACGATTGACTGTCTACTACAATAAGTCTTACATTAACAATTGACGAATAGATGGCGGTGGCATGCCTTCGGCTCCTCCCGTGCTTGTAGTCGTCGCTAGGTGGTCTACGGACATGGATATAGGCTTTACTTATGGTGTTCTTTATATTACCTTGACAATTGACGAATAGATCGAAAGTTTTTCCCACAAAAAAATACACTCATCTATTCAAATTCCCGCGGTTTTGAAGTACCATACAATACAAGAGGACATAACTCCATCCCTGCTATTTTCCCTTCATGTGTTTTGACAATTCTATTAATCAAAGAGGCTTTAAAGTGGTTTTGGATATTTATTTAGTTATTTATTTTTCTCTTCTATTTCTTTTGTATACGTGCATATAAAGTACTCCCTCTGTAAACTAATATAAGAGCGTTTAGATCACTAATTTAGTGATCTAAATGCTCTTATATTAGTTTACAGAGGGAGTATATTTCAACTCTAATTTTGCATCAATGTAATTCTAAATTTTCACATTTGAACATCACATGATTCAAACATTTTAAACTCATAATTTCAAATGTTCAAATTTATATTCTAACATAACATAGGGTCAAAATGCATTAAATGATTCAAATAAAACATGGATAAACACGATCAAGCATCATGAAGCTATTGCCCATGTAAATGCTACTGTGTTAAACAAGGTCTTCACGAAAGTTGTTCGTGTCATCCTGGTCTTCAACTGCCTGGTACACTTTAATAAATCTCTGAAGCCGATCAACGCCCATACAAGGGGTGACAGGTCGGCCAACATAGTCTTACTCCCTCCGTAAAAAAATATAAGAGGCGTTGATCACTTAAAACGCTCTTATATTTCTTTATAGATGGAGTACTTATCAACCACCTTGTCTCTCTTGCTTTCTATGATCACGTTATGGAGGATCGCACAAGATGTAATGTTGTTTTCCTGTAGTCTTCTTGCCTAGAAGTGCGCATGACCTCAAACAATTGCAAACCGAGTTGCAACAGAAAAAAGCAATGTCTTTCAGGCAAACTTCTTGAGACTTGGATGCTTCCTCTTCTTGTTTCCATGCACCTCCCATTGAGCTAGCATCAATGTGACCTCCTCCCCCAACTCATCATCATATAAAACAAATCATCATCGACATCATTTGAGGACAAAGAATCCTCAATAACACCTCCATTGGTGAGTTCATCTACATGAACTATGCAAAAAATGTCATCTACACGAAACAGAAAATTGTACACCTTGAAAATCTAGGAATTCGATCTTAAATTACCTCTTGTCAAACACCTTGAGGGTGCTGAGCTCGTCATCGAGGGATGTCATGAGGAGGTCCGTAAGCGGGGTATGAGAGAAGGGAGGAGGGGTTGTGCGGCACGCCCATGGTGCTCGAAGTGGTCTGATAGGGGAATCGGTCGATGGATGTAGCTTGGCGTGAGAAGGAGAGAGCTCGGGCGAGTGATATGTCGTAGATGTATCTACGACTTTTGAAGTTTTCATGTCGATTTCTTCTAGTCACTAGTAATAATGTGCGTGCAATGCACGTTTATATTAGGTAGAATATTAGTTGCATGTTATATTAGGTAAGATATATCTGTTGCACGTTGGTATTTGGTAAGATATTAATTATTTTTTGGAGGAATGGTAGGATATTAATTACATGGAAGATTTTAAGGGATAGCGCTGAGTCAAAACGTGTTTATAATCAATGGCAGTGGTGGGTAATTAGAGCGTTAAACGTGTTTGGTGCTCAACATTGGAGTGATTTGAACCGCTAGATAACATGATTTGACGGTCGAGATGGTTTGAATCTGCCCATTTGAGTCTTTTTATATTGGTATAGATACAAAATTTTAATATTTATTGGACTAACCTACTAATTATCGCCATAAGGGGTAGAACCGCATGATTATCTTGGTGCTTTCATGAGCCTTTTAAAACTCTAAACAATCAAAGTATCATAACTTATCGAAATGAAGGATGTCTGTGGAACTTGCAGCCACGATGGGCATGTGGGGCCCATGTGACCCATGATACGGCCATCTTGCATCATCATTTCTTATCATAAATTGCTCAATTATAAAAATGTTTTACATATTATATGTCACCATTCGTATCCCCCTTTTCATTTTATTTTGCAAGATTGCAACTAGAAGGGAAGGACCAAAATGAGCCAAAATGAAGAAACCATTTTTTTCTGGACAGAGTTAATATCACCCTAAGCACATGAACTTGCACGGTGTTAACAAATACATACATAAACTTGAAAAATCCATAAAAGTGGTCCCTTAACTCCTAATGTCGTAACAGTTTGGTACAAAACGGTCTCGTAGCTGTCAGATCAAACGCCATGTCATCAAGTGGCATGTGTCTGCGCTATTTTTTCACAAAAACCCTTGGCATTATAATATAAAGGTACTATAAGGTCCTGCATTCCCTATTCCCCACTTGTCCACTCAACTCAAATCCCTAACCCCAAGCCTGCACTCGCACTCCTGCCATCAAGGGCCCCTAGTGGCCACACACGTCGGCGTCGCAAAAGAGGGTGCTGGATGTGGCATTGGGACATCGTCCGCGCGAGGGAGAGGTGGTCTCGCTGGCAGCGGTGACATGGGCGGTGGCCGTGGCATGGGTATATCGCCCAAGCAAGGTAGAGCAGTCTCCATGGTGGTGGCAACATGAGCGGTGGCTACTGATACGTCTCCAACGTATCTATAATTTTTTATTGTTCCATGCTGATACATTATCATTTTTTGATGTTTTCCAATCATTTTATAGCAACTTTATATCATTTTTTGGGACTAACCTATTGACATAGTGCCCAGTGTTAGTTGTTGTTTTTTGCTTGTTTTTTACTTCGTAGAAAATCAATACCAAACAAAGTCCAAACGCATCGAAACTTTTTGATGAATTTTTTCTGGACCAGAAGACACCTGTTGGGCCAAAGAAGTACCAGAGGGGGGCTCCGAGGGGAGCACAACCCACCTGGGCGCGCCTGAGGGCCCAGGCACGCCCTAATGGGTTGTGCCCACCTCGGCCGCCTCCCGCACCGCCTCTTTGCTCTATAAATACCCCAATATTCCAGAAGCCCTAAGGGAGTCGACGAAAAACAATTCCAGCTGTCGCAAGTTCCAGAAACCACAGATCCAATCTAGACACCATCACAGAGGGGTTCATCATCCTCATTGGTGCCTCTCCGATGATGCGTGAGTAGTTCATTATAGACCTACGGGTCCGTAGTTAGTAGCTAGATGGCTTCCTCTCTCTCTCTTTTGATTCTCAATACAATGGTCTCTTGGAGATCTATTTGATGTAACTTTTTTTGCGGTGTGTTTGTTGGGATCCGATGAACTTTGAGTTTATGACTATCTATGTTTTTATCCATGAAAGTTATTTGAGTCTTTTGATCTCTTGTATGCATGATTAGTTATAGCCTCGTATTTCTTCTTTGAAACTTTGGTTTAGTTAGGCCGACTAGATCGATTTTTCTTGTCATGGGAAGAGGTGCTTTGTGATGGGTTCGATCTTACGGTGCTCAATCCCAGTGACAGAAGGGAAAATGACACGTATGTATCATTGCTATTAAGGATAACAAGATGGGGTCTATTCCTACATGAATAGATCTTGTCTACATCATGTCATCGTTCTTATTGCATTGCCCCAATTTTCCATGAACTTAATACACTAGATGTATTCCGGATAGCGGTCGATGTGTGGAGTAATAGTAGTCGATGCAGGTAGGAGTCGGTCTACTAATCTTAGACGTGTTGCCTATATAATGATCATTGCCTGAATATCGTCATAATTATTTGAAGTTCTATCAATTGCCCAACAGTAATTTGTTTAACCACCATATGCTATTTTACTCGAGAGAAGCCACTAGTGAAATCTACGGCCCCCGGGTATATTTTCTCATCATATATTTTCAGATCTATTTTGTTATTTGTCTTTTTGTTTTTTTGCAACTTTTATTTCAGATCTATATTATCAAAAAACCCAAAAATACCTCGCTCAATTTTATTTGCTTTTATTTGCATCTAT